TTTTTTTTTTTTTTTTTTTTTTTTTTTTTTTTTTTTTTTTTTTTTTTTTTTTTTTTTTTTTTTTAGGAAAGGGGAAGATGGAGAGATGTTTGTTTATTTTGATTGTTAAAAAGAGTCCCGGAAATTGACCCTTCCGGGAAAGGGACGTCCGGATATGGGACGTTACACTGTAGTAAATTAAAACAATAAAACAAACAGAATAATTTAGAAATACAGAAACTAATTCGATTTCTCCGCACTTTATTTATATAGGACAGCAATTATCTCTTAATCCTAGTGATACATCCAGGGAGTAATAGTATAATAATTTAATTTTTTAAGTTTCTAACATAATTTTAACTAATTTAGAGAAAATCATTTTTGGAATAAGATTATTAATAAGTTAATACAAAGTTCCATATTCCGATGAAGGTTTACTGGAAGCGTCTTTTTGGGACACTTTTTCACAATCAAAATAAAACTTGGCTCCATTTTCAAAAGATTTTTTTTTTTGTTGAAAAGTATCAGTAAAAAGTTTTTTTTTCTCTTTTTTCTTGCTGCTTCACTGGTAAGTGAACTGTAATTTGCATTTTCACATATATTCTGCCTCAATGACCACATTAAGAGTTGTTGAAAAGATATGAGTAGTTAAAGAAAAAAAAATCACTGAAGATTAGCTTTGTTTCCTTTTAAATTATAGATCTCTTCATTAAAAAATCTACTCAATTCTGTTCCTTGTTTTAAGTTACTTTTTCTTAATAAGTCAGATCATTTGAAGCTGGTTTTTTAATGTCATTTTCATCTGATTATCTGCTGTGTTAATTATTCACATCATAAAGAAAAGCAAATATCTTTATTCATAACAGAGAAAATTCATATTATTGTCTTCTGACTTTTATTATTTTTTTACATGTAATTTATCACACTAATTTAGTTTTTCAATTGTCATTCAATCTGTAAAAAAGCATTGTTGACTGAAATCGACATCAATTATCATTTATTTGTCATTTTTCTTGAACAAAATGTTTTCATGTTTGTTTACCTTTAAGATCTATTATCTGGAAAAATCTGACTTACTGAAGTCCTGATGATGCCGCATTTCGAACTTTCCAGTATATATGTTTTTAGAATAGTGTTCAAAAATGAATATCTATTCTTTAAGAACTGGAACTAGTTTTTCTAATAAATAAAAAACCACTTTGTCAAATCATATTGTTATCGAATTCATCTTCATTATTATACTTTGAATAATCAGTATGGAAGCTGAGCTGATCGGAGAAAATGATCGGATTAATTTATTGGTCGCACTGGTATGCTTTCATTAGGAACAGCCTTTCTTCCTCAAATAAACTAACGTTTGAATATATGCTCTTATCAGCCTTCATATTGATCAGTTGGAGCTTGTGAGTATCTTTTACTTAACCAACACAGTGTTATGAATGGATTATGTATAATTGCATTTCTGAAGAGGGTGCGTTTTAAATTCATTTTCTAAAAGAGGGTGCAATGCTGTTTTGGTTAAATAATCAATATGTGCATAGTTTAAAGTTGTAAGCAGGGTGGGTTTGTCCAATTATGCCCATCACTCAATCCATTTATTCTTTGTCATTATGTTTTGTTTTTCCATTGATTAAATTATAAAACATTAGTTTTCATATTTCTGAAATGCATGCTGAATTATTGTCATTTTTTATTTGTTTTTAACTGGATTAGGCTGCTTTGCACAGACTGACCATGCCTAAGTCTGGCATAGAATAAAAAAATATTTTTACAAACTTTTTAGGGTAATAATATTTTTGCTTACTTTTTAGGGTAAAGACTTGTACATGGATCTAGATGACTACTCTTTGCGTTTAATGGATTCACAAGATTTAACGGTTCTTAATACACAATCTATTCATACAATTCGAGTATGGGGTGTTGGACGAGATAATGGACGGTAAGAATCATTTAGTTCTGAACTTTCTTAGTAGTCAAGAGCTTCTGTTAGAGCTTCCAGTACAAGGAATAAAACGCTCAATATTTTTTATTGTGCCTCTCAATTATATTATTTTAGTAGTTGCATTCTTAAAGTAAATAAAATTTTGCCTTGAAAGCAATATTGCAGGCCTTTACAGAATATATTTGAGAAAAGAATCTATTTTATTATAAATAAAATTTTTATGATACAAGTATAATTTTAATGATGCAATTTTTTTCAAGATTTATTCTTTAGAGGTAATCTGAATACAATGCAGAAACATGCACTCACTACTCTCATATTTGATTCAATTTCAGATATACTTTTATATTATTCTACCACAAAAATCCATTGCAAAACTCTTTTAACTGCATTTTTTTTTAAAGAAAGGAATTCTAACATCGCAATTTGACACAAGAATTACATAATGTGTTGGAAATTTATTTGCTCAAAAATTTACATAATACTGATGGAGGGTAAAACAAAAAGTATACGAAGAATTGTAATAAAGAATACTAGGATGTTAATCTAGGAAGAAACTAGGTCTGTTTAAGGACTTTTCGAGAAAATTCCAGATCTCAAAAAAGGACATTTCACAAAAAGTAAACCTCAATGAAAACAACAAAAAATCCAAAACTCAGCACCAAAAAAAAGAAAGGACTTGAGAAATTTAAACTTTTTAAATGAGCGATTTGCAAAGTTCTTAACTTAAGAAATGCTCCTTTCATAAAACCCATTTTTCTATTATTTATGATTAATATTCCAATTTGCTTGTATGCCTGCAAATCAAAAATTGCTTGAAAATGATATTATTACCTTAATTATTTTACTGGTAAAAAATATGAGGGCAGTAATAAATCCTGTTCACCTTAGCATATAGCAAGTTATTTCTGCACATGTAAAAGAAAGTGTGCTATGCTATTTTCTCCTTTTTTTATTATTACAGCGCTAGAAGTTAGGATTGCTAAAATGTATTATAACTTAACTAATTATAGATTTTTCATAAATTTTAAAGATCCCTTTAAATATCTGTACATTTTGTGTAAAGCATTTTAAGCAGCATCAGTTGGGTTTTTCCAAACTTGGCTAAGACTACTGTAAAGTGTAAATGAATCAGCAAGTTTAGAAACGTAAGCTGCATTCTGAAATTTATATACAGTATTTCATATTGACTGCCCCTTAATATGTATTTTTTAATTCAAGTGAAAGACATTTGGGGGCAAATATTAGTATATAAGTGAGAACGAAAAAAAAAATTCAAATTCTGTTGACTCATTATTGGGGTCAGTAAGAGTGAAGGAGTGATTAAAAGTTAGCTAAGACTAATTATTTAATTTATTTGAGTGAAACGCATTAAGTTGATTCTTTATGAAGGGCAGATTATTTTCTCACTCTCTTTTGACGAAAAGAATAGGGTTGACCTTTGTTTTTACTACCGCAATAATTATTAACCAAAATTTTTAAATATAAATTTATTTTATTTTCTTCACTTAAATAATAATCAGTCACTCATATTGTGATTAGTTTCTTTCTTCATCTCTTATAAAAAAATTTATGTATCTATATATATTGACTTGTTATTTTATCTTTCAATTATATTAATAATTGTTAAACATTTAATTTACAATTTTATTGATTTTAAATAAGCAATTTGATTTTTTGTGCTGTGCAATGATCCTGGTTCATCTTCAGTGAAAGGTAAAATTTCTATTATCAATTTACACATATATTTGCATGTTGAATACATAATATGCTTATTTTAATATTTTTGGGTGAAAATCTTACAAATATTAAAATACTTTTCAAATTTTGAAACTAGGGATTTTGCATACGTTGCCAGAGACCGTGTGACAAAGAAATACATGTGTCATGTTTTCCGCTGTGATATTCCTGCAAGAATAATTGCTAACACTTTAAGAGATATTTGTAAAAAAATAATGATAGAGCGTAGTGTACAAAGAGGTATAAAAAAACAGTCTTCTTCTGAGAATATGGAAGTGAAGATTCCTGCTCGTCCAACTGATTTGCCTGTGGAGCAAGGTTTGTTTCCATTGACAGAATCACAAAGTTCCTGTTCTGGTAAATAAATTTAATTTTTTTTGCTTTTAACTGTTGAATTCCTTCTTGTTGTTCAAATGTTAAATCATGATCCAAAAATTGATCATAGGGTTGTTTATTCACATTAACATTGCAGTTCACATTGCTGTTAGAAAATTTTACTACTGAGTGGATTTTTGTAAATTTCTAATAATCAATGTGAAAAAAATCCTACTCTCCCCGGTTTGATTGTTGCCCATAAGAAAGGCATAAATTTTATTTTGTACATTTTTAATTACATTTAACGTTAAATAAATTATGAAATAATGTGAACTTCTCTTTGAAAACGTTCCACAGTGGACTGATCGTGAAGACACGCTTCCCAGCAGATCACCGAAGTCAAGCATCACTGGCTGCGGTCAGTGTGCGGGTGGGTGACCACTTGGATCAGTCTGCGTAGGGACCGAGGGTGTGCGGTATTGGTCCTCGTTAAACTGTGCTACCGTAAAGTGCTCGACTTCGCGTGCAGGTCGTCGGGCTACCGAAGCGGGGGTGCCATCCCCTCTGCAGAGGATCAAAATTGTGATGGCATGTCTCAGATAGTCGCCAATAGCCCATTGTGCAGCTCTAGTGCGACGTAAATTAACAACAACAATCTCTTTGAAAAACTGTAAAAATTGCTTTCAAATGTAAGGGCTTATGTATCATTAATGTAATTTCTGTTGCACATAGAATTGAAAATGATTTTATGATTTCAACTAAATATTGCTCAAAAAAATTAATCAAAAGTATGAGTTTATTATTTAATTAATCAAAAACGATTAACGCAATCTAAGCAAGCAAACTTGTAATGAAAACTATATTACAGATGCGTTACATTTGTTAATAAACCAATTGAAAAGTGAAAGAATCACTACATTTGTAAGTGTTATTACTCTAACAAAAATTTATTATTCATGATAATATACTAATTACTTACAAAATAAATTATTCATGATAATTTACTATGATTTGCCGCGCAAAGGAGTTATAAGTTAGAATAATAAAAAATTAAGAATGAATAATAATTATAAAGATTACTAACGAGTTTTAAAGTAAAAATATTTTGAAATATATTAAGTTTAAAAAAACCTCTTCATGTAGAATATATGTAGTTTAACTAGAAAATATCTGTTAAATAAATGTGTTATGTTCAAAATAAGCTGATGGGAAAATAGCATTCAAGAAAACATATACTGCTAGTCTTGTTATTGGCAATATCCAGAAATCCACCTATCAGTTTAAAATTGTTATATTTCACCTGCTTTTATTAAATAAACTAGAAGTATTTATGTTTCCTAAAAAGATACATCACCTATAATTAATTCTTCATGGACTAAGACCTCTCCTCTTGTAGTACTTTTGTCTCTCTAGTTAAACATATTCTGGTTGTGAGGTTTTTCCATTAAACTTTATGACCAGATATACTACTCTTGTAACCATTTTGGTCTCTCTAGTTTAACAGATTCGGATTGTGGTGCTTTTGCATTAATAATGTTTAATGCTTCTCTTGTAACAGTTGGCCTCCCTAATTTCACAGATATTCCGGTTATGGTACTTTTGTATTAAGGTATATGCCCAAACATATTTGTTTTGTAATGTTAACTTGGTTAAATTACAAAATTAGACAGAACAATGTACTTTTTCTGACTAAACATTCCTTTCTTTTCCAACACTTTTGAATTCTTGGCCATGTAAACGTGGGATGTAGCCACAGCTTGAAAGACATGGTCCTAATAGTCTAATCAGATGGGGAGGCAAAAGTTTGAGCCCTATAATGTTTACTAAGTTTTTTTTTGTTGTTGCATATTTTCCTATAACTCAGTAACTTTTTAATCAGAGAAAATTTTGCTCACAAGAATGAAACTCATTTTATTCCAAGATAATTCTCTGCAAAAAGTTATTTCTTATAATTACTTTTTCATTATAGTTGAGAAGATATTGAATTGTCTTGTTAATTTTTAAATCATTTTTAACTTAGTAATTTTAAATGACAAAATACAACATTTGAATCAAATCATTTATACAGTTTCTAAGTTATTAATATATTTTTAAAATTTTCTTCCTCCAGAAATATTTCACTGATTTTATTCATTTACATTTGTCATTTAAAATTGCATGGTTTAAGATGCTGCTGAAATTTTTGCAGATCTTATGGTTAAAAAACTTTAACATTACTGAATAAAATGGTAAATAATTATTGAAAACTATTTTTTGAATGAAATTATCTTTGGTTTAAAGTAATTTTATAATTGTGTGTAAAAAATACAGGGTATCCGCGCACCTGGAAAGTCATGGAAAATCATGAATTTCAGTATTAAACAAAATTTGTCATGAAATGTCATGATTTTTATTATTTTTTAAAAGAAATCATGGAAAGTCATGGATTTAGGTCTATGAAAAATCTAATTTTTAAAATGGAATCTCCCTCCCCCCAATTTCATCCTGTTCCAAATATCTGAATTTCTTTCATATGTCATATTTTATTTGAATATAAAATGAGTTTATCATGTTCTTTAAAAATTATGGTGTTCTTTCAAAAAATGAAAGAAAAAATATCATTTCTGGAGCCGATTATCTTTTAAACTCTCTTCTGTGATTTAAGAATTTTTATTATTATTTTTTTTAATTTTATAAATTTAAAATNAAAATTTTTTAACTTCCCAAAAGTAAAATCCTTTTGCTTTATTTCAAGAACTCAATTGTGTTCTGCGACAATGTCGCCGTGTTGCCCGCGATTCTGCCACAGGACTTTGAGAGTGGCTAGCAATGATATTCAGTGGTTAAAGGTTGATGCTGTGTGCTAGAGCAGATAAGGAGAATTATATTAAATTTATTGTTGTGTTTTTGTCGGAGATAATAATTTCAGTAAGTCATGAAGAATTCTTGGAATTAGTCATGGATTTGAAAATCTAAAATGTAGCAGATACCCTGAAAATATTCAACGTGCATACAAAGTTTGGCATATTAGCAATCATCCAGAACAGGAACGATGGGACTTATTCAATTAGTGTGACAGTAAAATAACGGTTTACTATTTCTAGGTATCTAGTATGCCACTTGTTATTTCTCTTTTAAAATTAATCTTTAAATCATTATACTTGGATTTCAAATAATTAAGTTACATTGTCTTTCTATATTTGCTGTTTTGTTATTAACTTGCTTTTTATAGAAATCAAATAAACAGTATTTTAAAATTTTCATTTTAATATCAAGCTAAAGTAAACTACTACATTACTAGAGAGAAAAACTTTAATATTTAATCTCATTTAGAAGGACACTTGTTGCAGAATCCTATCAGTTGTGTCATTTAAATATATTTCATAACTTTTTATCTTTAGTAGCACTCATTAGGTACATTGTTGTGAAGTACAGTAAAATGCAGACAAAAAACAATTAGCCTCATTGAAGCCTAGTCTTTTCATTGCTCTCCCGACAAAACCATAGCTTTCCTAAGTGATAAAACCATAGCCCCTCCACTTTTATGGTCAAGAATCAATATCAATCTTGAAAACGGTATTCTTATTCAAAGAAGGATTATTTTTCTGTCTATAGCTTGATTAACAGTTAGCACCAGTCAATTAGATTTTCTGAGGGTAAATCTTTGTTATTTTCTTGTTTACTTAAGGCTAAACATACAAGAAAAAATTTTGTGCCTTAAAGCATGAAATATACATGCACTTTAATTTTTACTGAATAAATTCTTTCAATTATTATTGAATAATTTTTTTAAATTATTACTAAATTATTATTTGAATAAATTATTTACTTATATTACAAATCATTTATATTTATACAGGTCAGCTTTTTCCTACCCCGATGGAAGAACCGAAAAAGGTTTTGAAGGTGTTTTATTTAGGGTCTACAAATGTTGATAAGGCTACTGGAGTTGATGTACTTAATGAAGCTATTGAAAAGTTGTTTACTGCTATTCCTAAATCTGATTATAAATTTGTTAATGTGGCTGTAGCACCATCAACCATTACTATTTGCGTAAGTGTGATTTACATATCCAACATTTTTATCAGATTTCCCTCTCTTGCAGAATAGGAAGAATTATCCATCTCTCATATTGTGATTTTAAGGAGCTTCTACTCTCACCATCTTGATGTTAGGTTATTTTTTTGACAAATTTTTGGGTATTTATTTAACAAACACCATTCAAAAAGGGTGGCAAATAAGGGGTCTCTATATTAGATTAGTAACTTAATAATTTTCCTTGAAACTGGTATTAAGCATTAAAAATGTGTGTGTTTGAATGAGTTACTACACATTTGCCACTTTTTAAATTTGATTTTACTACAGTTGTTAGGAAAATGCACAAAAACAAAGATATTTATCAAAAATCTAAAAACAAACAACACATGCAAACACTTAAATACCTTCCAAAGACATCTGATAGCTGAACTGTATTGGTATAATTTTTTTTCGGAAAAAAGTAAAATATAATTTAAAATACAGATTGTTTTAAAATGTATTTAGGTAAGACCTTGTAATTTACATATTTAGAAAGATGCTGCTGAATGGAGTAAGTATATTTCAACAGTTTATTTGTGAAAACTGAATAAAGAGGATTAAAAGAAAATTTGGAATATTTTCTCCTTGTCTACACTCTACACAGTTGAGTTAGGTCACAAGAGGAGAGACCTATTAAGGGTGCCTTTATTAAAATTCTCATAACTTTATTCATCTTGAAGGTAGGATTCTCTTCAGTCTGCCTCAATAAAACAAATATTGTCCTATTTAAAAAAAATTTCTAATGATGAGATTACAAAATTTCTCTTTAAATCTAGAGTATTCCAGGGTGTTGTCATATATTTATTTTTTCACAATTTTAATGGATTCAAAGGTAGAATCTGAAATATATGTTGCAATTGGCTAGGTCATGTGAGAATTTGAAAGCTCTTCGTATTGGTATTCTTGTTTTTTGGGACATATCTCCACAAATAATCGTGCAATTGTGAAAACTATTAATTATAATTCATTTCATTCACTCATTTCATATGATAAAATAATATGTTTTAGTTTTTTTTTTATTTACCAATATATAATTTTTCTAAACTCGGAAACTTTGCTTTGAACTTGGGAAACTAATTTTTTAACTTTTAATTTGGAAATTTTGCTCAATTTCACACAAAAATTATTTACAGTTGAACTAAAAAGCAATATATTTGTAAAGTTTGGTGCTGAATAAGAAATTGGTTTGCAACATAATTATTTTAAGAAATAATATGATAAAAATAATGGATAATAAGTTTGACTGTATTTCAATGGTTTCATACCTTAAACGCAACTTGGCAATTTCCTCAGACTCATATTAATATTTTGCTTCAAAAATAATACCTTATTTAAGATCCTATTAATATAATATGTCTTTACTTTTACAGGAAGAAAATAAGCAACTGGCTGAATGCAGAGTTAGGTTTTTATCCTTCCTTGGTATTGGTAAAAGTGTGAAGTACGTATTTTCAGTTAATAATGTTGCATACAACCAGTTCAATATTATCTCAATCGAGGACTGGGTAAACATTAGCCCGATACTATCAGAGCATGTTAACGAGGAATAAACAAGTCATAAATTTAAATAAACACATTTAATAAGGAACATGCACATAAAGATACAAATAAAATCAAAATACAGAGAATAATCTGAACTTCTTTGGATTTCAGTGAGCCATCTGACATGCTCAAGATTAATAGAGTTCAATCCAATGCATGCATGTGCATTTTATTACGGATGAAAATGAAACCACTCTTAACACACTTTCCCCTTTTGAGATTCTGGATGGCAACTCAAAATATTTGCATAAAATTAACATCCCAAGTCTAATTGGCATTTTTATCGATCATGATTACGAGTCTTTTGTAATTAAGGTGTTGTTGGCTATGGTCACATAAATGGTAATTCAGCAACTGTCACAGGATACATGATAGGAGAATAAGTTGGTAAAGTTTCTTCCTAAAGTTCTAATGATAAAATTCTTTGTATTGGACCTATTAATGCATAGAACTATGTCTTTAATTTGACTGCTCTCCTATGAATTAAATTAACTACTCTGGCTAAGGACCAGTTTTTTTATTGCCCACCATAACCCTATGATTACAAGAATGGTGGAACTTACTGTTAAAATACTCTGTTGACTAGATCAAGTTAAAAGATTGTGTGAATTTGTTTCATTGAAAAAGATTTATCCCAATGTGTGGGGAGGGGACTATTTATTTGAAACTTTTCATTGATATATAAAATTACTGACTAATTTTAGAGAATTTACTTGTTTTGTAGGATGTGTGGATTTATTGTGCATACAGCACAAGATGATTTTATAGCGCATGTATTCTTCTGTGAGCCATCATCTGGAGCTCTGTGCAAAACTATTGAAGCTGCCTGTAAAGTAAGGATATATATATGTTTCTAGTTTACTTCCTATTGTATAATCATGTTTCTTTGAAATCATTTTAATAATAAATGTTATATAATTTTAACATTTATTTATATACTATAATTTTTAGATATGTAATTTAAAAGCAACTTTATAAACTTTTTTTTTATATATAATTTTGTATCATTTTCTACCACTTTGCAATTTAAGTTGTTTTTTTAATTTATTTTTATTGCTATTAGTTATTTACCTTTAATACAAACTCCATTAATGTAATTTTTAAGAAAAATTATTATAGAATCTTTTTGCTTTTACTATATTAATTATACGAGTGATTCTGATAAACTTGTGTTTATTAGTGTTTTTATTATATCCTTAAAATTTTTCTGGAAAAAATGGTAATATATAAAAACGGAGATTAATGGCATAAACAATTGAAGCATACAAAAAAAAATTGCTTATAGTAAGAATAAAAATTTTTTTCTGTTTGTCCCTCACATTTTTTTTTACGCTCTCAATTTTAGTAGTTTTTTTTTTTTTTTTGGTTTCTTTTGCATTTTATGTTAATATTTTTCTAAACAATAAGTATAGTTTTTTTCCTATATTTTCAATGACAGTCAACTCAAACTTTTTTGTTAATATTTTTATATTTATGGAAGGGTACCTTTTTTTTCTTTAAAATACATCTATGGTGTATCACATTAAAATAATGAAAGATCATCAGACACAGAAAATTGCAGAACCTATTTGATGGGACTTTGAATACAAAATACAGTACAAAACCCGTTATCCGGAAATCAGAAAACCAAAAAACCGGAACAAAATTCTATCGATTTTCCCGCCATTTAAAAAAAAAATATTTTTTTCCTCATAAGATTTTAGGATTTTTCTTTCTTTTTTGAAAGATGTTTACCTTATTCTNTTACTTCCTATTGTATAATCATGTTTCTTTGAAATCATTTTAATAATAAATGTTATATAATTTTAACATTTATTTATATACTATAATTTTTAGATATGTAATTTAAAAGCAACTTAATAAACTTTTCTTTTATATAATTTTGTATCATTTTCTACCACTTTGCAATTTAAGTTTTTTTTTTTTTTTTTTTTTTTTTTAATTTTTTTTTATTGCTATTAGTTATTTACCTTTAATACAAACTCCATTCATGTAATTTTTAAGAAAAATTATTATAGAATCTTTTTGCTTGTACTATATTAATTATACGAGTGATTGATAAACTTGTGTTTATTAGTGTTTTTATTATATCGTTAAAATTTTTCTGGAAAAAATGGTAATATATAAAAACGGAGATTAATGGCATAAACAATTGAAGCATACAAAAAAAAATTGCTTATGGTAAGAATAAAAAAAATTTTTCTGTTTGTCCCTCACATTTTTTTTTTTACGCTCTCAATTTTAGTAGTTTTTTTTTTTTTGGTTTCTTTTGCATTTTATGTTAATATTTTTCTAAACAATAAGTATAGTTTTTTTCCTATATTTTCAATGACAGCTCAACTCAAACTTTTTTGTTAATATTTTTATATTTATGGAAGGGTACCTTTTTTTTTATGAAATACATCTATGGTGTATCACATTAAAATAATGAAAGATCATCAGACACAGAAAATTGCAGAACCTATTTGATGGGACTTTGAATACAAAATACAGTACAGAACCCGTTATCCGGAAATCAGAAAACCAAAAAACCGGAACAAAGTTCTATCAATTTTCCCGCCATTTTAAAAAAAAAACATTCTTTTCCTCATAAGATTTTAGGATTTTTCTTCTTTTTTGAAAGATGTTTACCTTACCATCATTTTGGAAATAATCATTAGTGTATTACTTCATCGTTTTTTCTTCTTTTTAAGATTATTTCCAACTATTTTTGTTTTGTTTTTTTAGTTGGGTTCAACAATAAAAAAACGGCTTTTTGTATCGATTCAGAAAACCGGAAAAATCAGTTATCCGGAATAGCAATGGTCCAGATCGTTCCGGATAATCGGTTCCCTACTGTAATAAAATATAGAGCTATCTAGATTCTATGATCTTGTTCTATTGTGGCATTCAACAGAATCGTCCAAGTTGAGAAGGTTGTTTAGATATTGCGGATTTTCCAAAGAAAATTATGAGGCATAATATAGAAGAGCTGGTTAACTTAGTTATTTAATTTTTCATGGTCATCAATAAGAGAGCTTACTTGTACAAGATAGAGATCACTTTCAAACACCTTTTAGAAGGAGAGTCATGCAGACTGCATTAAGCCTTGATAATTTTTTGTTTCTTTCTCTGCCTGCTCTAACTAATTACATTTTTACTATTTCTCAAAAAAGTCATGGCATAAATACAACTGGCTTGGAAAAAGTAAATATATAAAATTAAAGAATGGAATATTGTTATAAAAACTTAAATCCTTATGAGCATGTGGAGAGGATATTATAATGGCTATCTCAAACTGTCGCAGTTCATGGTTAAAAGATAAGTGCTAGGCGTCTGAAAATTATTAAATAAAATTCAGGAGTGACTGAAAAGCTTGACGTAGAATACATTTTATAATAGCAATATCGCTTACTTTATGTTACAGATGAAGACAATTAAAATGAATTTTAGTTAGAAACAGCATGTTATATTAACCGCTTCCCTTTTTGAGAAAAAAAAAGCAAAAAATCAACATATTTTTTTATTTCATTAATAAATACAAGGTATTAAAATAAAACACAATACACAAGTTTTAAGTTGAAATTTTAATTTTTTAATTAAAATTTAAAAATTAAGCCAACAAGTACGAAACATCATTTCTAGAGAAAATTAATTGCTAATGTGTATCGGTTCAATGTAACTGTGAATGAGCATGTAATGAAAATGCAATAAAATATTCTCAAAACAGCTTCCTGTTAAGCTATGCAAAATTAAAAGTTTTTTTGGCAACTTTATGGGTCTATGTTTCTTTTTAATAGAATTTGCTAAACTAATCAATGTATTTTCTATAGCTGCAAACTCTTATGCATTTTGTGAAAACTTTCTGTGCATTTGCACCCCATTTTCCGCAGTTTGAAAATCTGTGCATTTTTTTTCTCTTTTTGCTTTGTTTTGTGACTATTCAAATGTACGTTATATCATATTAGAAAAATATTGTATCAATAGTATCATATTTAAGAGAAAAAATTGGAATTTAAAACTGTACAAAACAGTTCAAAACACTGTCTGGTCAGGAAAACGGTTAACAAGACTGCATGTAGCATTTGAATTTACAAGAAAATAGGCACAGATTCAGCATGTAAAAACTCATGTAAGTTTAATATAGAGTTATCACCTGTCAAAAATTAAATTAAAAGTTACAAGATTTTAAAAGCCACATAGATATTGTTAGCAATAACTATCAAAAAAGGTGTGAATCAAATGTTTAAATAAATACTAAAATGCAGAATTTGAAATTTCTATGTCATATTAAAAACCTAAAGAAAGTACCTGGATTATAAAAACCATATGGAATCAGTAGTGATAATTATCAAAAAACTATAGAAATGACTGCATGGAATGCGAATAGACATTAGTTGAACCATTGAAAAAATTTTTACCCAGTTGAAAATTTTTGTGCATGTCTTAATAACATTGTACAGTAGAGAGCCAATTATCCGGGAAGCTCAGGACCATCGCTATCCTGGATGTCTGAATTTCCCGGTTTTCTGGATTGACCAATGATGATGGTCAATCCAGAAAACCGGGTGTGTTTTATCTAACCCGAATTACAAGGTAAAAAGTGTAACACATTTTATAATAAGAGAAAAAGAAACGTACTCCTAAATTTTAAAAAAAAAAATGGTAGAAAAATAACATCTAGAAGAATAAAAAAAAAAAAATTGCAAGTTTAGACAAGAAAAACAAGTTTAAAAAATACAAAATTCTCATATTTATTTTTTAAAAATAATTACAATTCCTAAATTAACTAATATAAACAAAACCAATGATTAAATANACTATAGAAATGACTGCATGGAATGCGAATAGACATTAGTTGAACCATTGAAAATTTTTTACCCAGTTGAAAATTTGTGTGCATGTCTTAATAACATTGTACAGTAGAAAGCCAATTATCCGGGAAGCTCAGGACCATCGCTATCCCGGATGTCTGAATTTCCCGGTTTTCTGGATTGACCAAAAAGTGTCGTTAATTGATGTTTTATCTAACCTGAATTACAAGGTAAAAAGTGTAACACATTTTATAGTAAGAGAAAAAGAAACGTACTCCTAAATTTAAAAAAAAAAAATGGTAGAAAAATAACATCTAGAAGAATTAAAAAAAATTGCAAGTTTAGACAAGAAAAACAAGTTTAAAGAATACAAAATTCTCATATTTATTTTTTAAAAATAATTACAATTCCTAAATTAACTAATATAAACAAAACCAATGATTAAATAACGCAATATCTTTCATACCTGATTATACAGGAGGAAAACGATAAAATAAAAGGAAAACTTATTAATCTAAATAAAAACAACCAAAATTATCTACCCGAAACAATAGTTAAAAAAGGCACTAACGTAAATATTAAAACCTGGAACAAGGCAAGATCAATGAGATCAACGGAATTTTTAAAAAAAAAGGGGGGGAAAACCTAATGATAAAATTTAAGAATAAAAAGAATTAATTTATTGAGTGCGAAATTTATCGTGAAAAGAAAAAAAAAATCAAAACGTAGTGGAATCAGAAAAACAAAACTGCAATCTACTTCATAAAATAATCGTATGTTTTAATTAATAAACAATTCTCCTTTTTTAAATTTTTTTTTTTATAAAAACACGATTTTTAATGGAAGCAGACGTGATCCCACATCAAGAAAAACTTGCAAATGATACCGCACTTCCAAAGAATCAGAATTTATTCAAAAGAAAAATATTTTATTAATTGATGTCAAATAGGTAAGTATATTTTTCTCTTTCATCTTCTATTCACTGATATGCCTGTGCAATGAACTTGGGACAGTCATTGATATGCCTGTGCATCTTTCCC